AATTTAAGGTACATTTAGAACAGATAAAAATGTGCAATTAAGTTGTGATTAATCGCGAGTTAACTCAAGACAATCATGCGATTAATCGCGATTAAATATGTTAATCGGTTGACAGCCCTAATATATATATATATATATATATATATATATTAGGGCTGGGCAAGTTAACGCGTTATTATCACGTTAATGCATTAATTGATTAATGCCGACAATTATTTTATCGCGCATTAATGCAGTTTTTTATTATTATGAAAGTTCGTTGCTCACTGGCTCTGAACACACATACAGACAAACCATGGGTCACAGGAGGGGTGGAATGTTGATCAGTACTGGCTTGGGATGGGCGTCATCACGTGTCTCGAACCAATGAGAGCATTTGGGGTGGACCTAAGACTGTAGCAGCGCTCACATGACGCGCTCACGACTTCATAAGTGGGAAATAGGAAGTTTCCGATAGCACGTGAAGGCAGCAGAGAAGCGCTCTAGCTCAGCACAGTGGAGTGCATCGTTTTGTTAACATTGTGGTCTATTATTTTGAGTCATTTGGGACGCAGTAACACACGGCCCTCTCACAATATATTGCTTTACATATCTATCACTTTTGCTGCTCAGAAATGTTCACGCAATCATGCTTCACGTATCAGAACGTATCAGAAGTGTACCGCGTACCTCACCCAAGCCCAACTGAACCGCGCTCTGGCCCACCTCTTCCAACTGAGCCAGGGCCAGCTAAAAGAACCGCCCGAGCCCAACAAAACCGCGCTCTGGCCCACCTCTTCCAACCGAGCCAGGGCCGGCTAAATGAACCGCGCCCGAGCGCGGCATGGAGCGATCACACTAGTCAAACGAACCGGGCTTTGGGGGTCAATCGCTCGCGCTCAAAACGCCTAGTGTGTGTACACACTTATTCTCCCGCATCCCGCCCACACGAGTCTCTACCCGCCCGCACTCGCCCATCAAGTGTTGTCCCGCACCGCACTCTGCTGCGTTGGGTCCTGCGATAGTGCTGGTCTCTAAGGTGCCTGTTATAATGTTATGATCGAGGCTCTGGACTCTGAGCATAACTTGTTTTTCTATTATATACAGTATATATATATATATATATACTGTATATAACCTATATTAAAAATATACACTAGTCAACATCTGAAGGGGATCAAAACCTTTCATCAAAGTTGTCCTAAAACCAAAATGCGCTCTTGTCTTAGGACAAATTTGATGAACTTTTTTGATCCAAACTTCAAATGTTGACTACTGTATAACTCAAACCTTAGCTATAATCTTGCTCCGCTAAACTATTGCACTTTTGTTCATATAGCAGTACTTTTAAATATTAATAATAAATAATATGCAGAAAATGTATTATATTTGTTGAAATTGCCAATAGTCTACAGCCATATGCTACACATTTAAGCACTGTTTTTTTTGTGAAATAATTCAGTCCACTCATAATTCAGGCTTGTGAAGAGGCTTTTCAATAAATGAAACTCACATGCAATGAGCTTAGCTAATCACAATCAGTCATTAACCTATAGAAAGTACAGTAAATAAAAAGCCTATTTAATTCCAAGTGTCACACAGAGTGGGAAATGGTTCTGAAAACTAAATTACGGCTGTTTTTTGTTAAAGACCTTGACTAACATTTCAAGTGGACCTCAGGGAAAAATAGACAGTGCTATAAAAGTGTAGAATATTCGTCCTTTAAAGCCACCATAAAGAAAATTGCTCATTTGAAAAATGGGATTTCTGAATGGTCCTTCCCCAAAGACGAATAAAAGTGAATATTCTGACATCACACACTGCACTGATCTGAGAGAAAGAAAAACATTAGAGATGACTGAAACAGGAAGTTGAGAAAAAGGTGAGCTTACCTGTTGGGGGAAGATATGCTCCGCTGAAGCACTGAGGTTAATGGCAAAAACGTGATCTCTACAGAGACACAGAGAGAGAGAGAGACAGGAATGGCAATATTCTCATCAAGTATTAGGGCAAATGAGATTCTTTCTGCCAGTTCTTTCAATAAATAACAATACAGTGCCAATAACACCTTGAGCTGAAATGAAAGGGGCAGAGGACAGCTACAACGAGTGGTGAAGAGACAGACAGAGAGGAAATAGAAGGGGTGAGAGAGGTGTCAGAGAGCGAGCCAACATCCATCTGTCTGCAATCCAGGCCTGAATGAGACTGATTGACCCAATCACACGACCCTTATCATTAGTGTGTGGGTCTTATCGCTGCGGGTGTCTGGAGAAACAGCACTAGTGTGTACCGATCGGGAGCTCTGGAATTCCCAGTCGATGTTGCATCTTGAATCTTCTGAAATGTGTGTGACTGTAGTGTTGTGTGCAGTGTGTGTGTGTGATTGAACTGACATGACATACCTCGCAGCAATGTAGACCATGTGGTTAATCCGCAGCATCCTCTGAAAATCCAGCCCCAGTCTGGCGGTGTCGTTATCTGACATGTTCCCCTGGAAACTGGGGTACAGGTAGGTGCCTTCATGACGGGGAGAGAGAAAAGACTGGGTTAAAATCAACTAGAAATGCTTACTGTCTACAGTACTATCTTCGTGTCAGTGATGCACCTGAAGGATTATTCTTATTTTAATAGCAACATTTTTTTCTAATTAACTGTAATTTGTTAACAACAAATGAATGTGTACATCGCATCACATTATCTCTATATTTCTTAGGACTATTCATGAGATTTTAATAAGAACATTTTGTCAAGCTGTCAAAACATTAAAGGGGTCATATGATGCGATTTAAATTTTTCCTTTCTCTTTGGAGTGTTACAAGCTCTTGGTGAAAAGAGGACACGACTAGAAATCAGTGGTTAACAACACTGTTCCAGAACAGTTCAACTCAAATATTCAGATGTGTGCATCACATTTTATGGGGGACTGTTTCCTGGGAGAGTAGACTACAATGCCGGCTGTTCTGACTCACAGACTGTAAGTACGTTTTTATATATAAAGAATTTGCCACTGACTATTCAAACGCGAGTTTTGAGCAGTGCTTGTTGTTTGTCATTTCTCCGATCACAAATGCAGACATGGTTTTATGTTTACGCGATGCAACACCTAAAAAGACAGTATAAGTCATTATAATCCGTAATTATGTCCCCACTGGATGCAACAAATGCCTAATTTATAATGGGTTTTAATGTTTTTGTCTCGTCGCTCCGGCCGGATATCACAGTATGGTAGGGGCGTAACATTTCCATCACACGCTTGAGGTATTCATAATGATTCATATTACAGATCTCATTTTGCTGCAAGCAATGTTGATAAGTGTTTACACTCACAAACATCATCTGCTAATTAATCTCATTTACACTTAAAAAGATGAATTTCTAGCACAATGTCAAAGATGAGTCATGAGTCACTTTGGCATGCTCTTCTTTCAGAGGCCGAGTGGGTCACACAACATTTTCAGACCCGCAGAGACATCTAACCTGCAGGGACCTTTCATTTGCAGGTCTGCTTGGAAACTGTGCACTGCTCAAAAGTAGCAGCCACATGGTGACAAACATGACCTTGGGGTGAGAAGAAAATCTGGACTTTTTAATGATTCCTGTTACTAGTTATTCAGCGATTATGAAGCTGTGTATTGTTAGAGTTTCTCCTGAGCTTGGCAGACCATAGGTGGCCGCAGCTGGAACCGACGCTCGCTCTGATGTTCAGGAACTACAGTAAACAAACATGCAAGGGTTAAATTGGAGCTGAAACTTCACTCTCTTCTCAAAGACACTGACTGGGTAAACATCATTATCACCATCATCTGATCTCGGCAGGATCATCACTCAATAAAGATCACCCAGAGGGTCTGCATCTCGACATAGAGCCAGAGCCAATGAACCAGTGATATGAGGAAGAAAATTAAATCCACACAACTCTCACAAGTCTGAAAATCACTGCATGAGAATGAATATTCTAGAATTCTCAGCTTCATTCTTCAAAATAATTCAAGATTATTCTACCAAACTGCAGTTATAAATTTTAAAGACAGGAAATATGTACTTATATTTTGAAACAATAAGCATCATACACTTGCCATATATGGTTAAAAAAACAGCATCGTACACTAAACGACTGAGGATCATTCACTATCGAACTTTCAAGTCATGAAACATGACAAATAAAAACAATGTGTTCTAAAATAGCTTCAAAATATCAAACGTGTCTGATATATATCTTGCACAATGTGATTTTCTATGAAATCTGTCAATTCCAACTGCCCCAAATCTGCTGGCTGGCAAGTTAACTAGCATCAACTCCACCAGACTGCAAACTGGGGCAAACATCTGGGCAGTGTAGTGTATTTCAACATATTTTCTAACAGGTCTAATTAACATTTTCATTCTGTCAAGAGTCAAATAGTGTCTGGATGAAAAAATATATAAATTTTTTCATGACATGGCTAAAAACAAATGTATATAAATTAGTGCTATCAAACGATTAATCGCGATTAATCGCATCCAAAATAAAAGTTTTTGTTTACATATGTATGTGTACTGTGTATATTTATTATGTATATATATATAAATACACACACATGCATGTATGTATGCATTTCAGACAAATATGTTGTTTATATATTAAATATATTTATATATAATATAAATTATATGAATATAAATATAGACATGTAAATATTTTCAATATATATATATACTGTATGTGTGTGTATTTATATATACATAATAAATATACACAGTACACACACATATATTATGTAAACAACAACTTTTATTTTGGATGCGATTAATCGCGATTAATCGCTTGACAGCACTAATATAAATTATTTTTTATTAAGATTTATTTACTTAAATTGTAATATTAAAATGTATATTATTTATACTAATTTGTCCAAATTAATTTAATTAAATACTATGAACTAAAATAATGTAAATTTACGTGAATTTAGGCATCCCAACATTATAACCAAAGTAAAAAAAATTATATATTTAAAACACATTAATTTCATACTAAGTATAGTTCAAATCTATTAACATATTCACTGACATATCGCTCAAGACTTACCGATATAAAAATGATAATTAAACATTATTTGGATTACTACTTGTGCACAATACACATTTCTAAATATTAAGCTTAAAATGTGTTTTAATGCCAATATTGGTGATTTTTTTCAGGATTGTATGATCTTTGAATAACATCAGTCTTCAAATTCAAGATATTTAAAGTGAACCTGAAGTATACTTGCAATAGTTCCACTTTAGCATAATCAAATATACTTCAGTATATCTTTTGTTGGACTTCAACATTACTTCCAAAAAATTAAAGTGCATTAAACTCAAAATTAGTTGTTCCAATTTAGCTGAATTTAAGGATACCAGTTTAGTATACTAAAAGTACAACTGCAGGGTATTTTTATTAAGCAGATAAATATGTAAATGTATTTGTAGTACACTTAGCATGAAATTAATGTATTTCTAATACATTTTAGTATATTTCTTTTTCACTAGAGAACATATAGTATGAAAAATAGATATTGATTTTAAGATTTGCTAAACATTTTATTTAACAGTGTTATTAAATTATTACCGTTTTCTTAATGTAATTTTAAGTGAGCAATGAATAAAGGTACCCTAAATGTAAAAATAGAAGAAATGCGCAGCACAGCTGAATATACAATATCGGCGACAGATAAATATCTGTATTTTTTTAAATCTCTCATATCGATCAATAACTGATATAGTACCAAATATATTATGCATCTCTACTAATACTAATACTAAGACACCATATTTTGTTAAAGCTTGTTAAGATGCTGCTTCTTTCCGTCTGTAATGTGTGGGCTGCACAAAGACCGCAGGGCTGATGGGACCATCTATGGTGGAAAGAGACAGACTGGTATCAAAATATGCAAATACACCAACTGTATTAACAACTATCAGTTCAGTTCATTTATGTACAATGAAAATCATATTCAACAACTGAATTAGCTCCTGAAAATTAAGATAGTGACAATCACAATCAAATTATACATTAAATATGTGTCATGTGTACAGAAGCAAACTGAACAACTAGTTGTTAATTCGGTGATGCCACTTGCTGCCAGCTGCTCTGAGCTGCTGTGTTAGAAAAATCACTGAAATTGAGGTACCTGTCTTGACTCATTTGCATATTTTGATATGGTCTCTGTGCACTGTAGCTCCTCCCACCATCCAGAACAAACACAAACATTACAGTCCAGGCTGAACATGTTGTTTCAAAGCATCATCTTAACAAGCATAAACAAAACACTGCTTGTTACAGTTGGTTCCATGTTGTAGTTGTCACTCCCCTAAAAGTGTTTTGTGAACAGAACAGGATTTGGCACTCAGAAGAGGAGTGACAACTGTTATTTAGCTACAGTGTGAACGCGGTCGAGGCCATCTAATGGGTTTAAAGGTTACAATGTATAACAGTTGTAGAACAGAGCAAAGTCTCAGGATGTAAAACCACACATACACATACAGCAAGCACATAAACACACACAGGTGGAAATGGTTGATAAATGGGTCTCATTACTCGTGTGATGTTCTTTTTGGAGAGCTCTATTAGCCCAGCTATCTGTACACCAATGGCTGTGAGGCTCAGTATCTGTTTTTGAGTCCAGCTCTCTCAAATGTGGTCCACTCGTTTTAGCAGAACAAAGTACGCAGCAGAGCTCTCGTATCTGCTCAAACATGACCCCCCCGAGCCTCCCGTGTCAATCATGGTACATCCATGCTGAATTCTGTGTTTGAAAGTTAAAATGATAGGAGACGAAAGTGAAAATGGGACCACAAGCTAGATTCCAAATTAAAGTAGCCACATAGAACTTACAGTTCACCCAAAAATGAAACTTGTCATCATTTACACTCATGTTGTTCCAAACCTGTATGACTTACCTTCTTCTGTGGAACACAAAAGAAGATATTTCGAAGAATGCTGGTAACCAAATAGCTTCAGTTTCTATTGATTTCCACTGAATGGTTAAAAATAGGGATGCACCGATACCGATATCGGTATCGGGCCTGATACTGAGCTCCTGTACTCGTACTCGTTAAAATGCCCCGATACCAAACGCCGATACCACACAGCATGTGATAAGCACCATATTCAGACAAAGAAACACCGACAACAGAACAACAGACAGCAGAATGGAGTTAAGGATGTCTACTACGAAGTATATGTATGCAATGAATATAAAGTTAAACATTCAGTATTAACGACTGTATAGCTGATGTGCGCGATCTGATAAACAAAGCACACTGAGTGGATTGAGCGCGCGGCGGCGCAGAGTGCATCCCTAGTTAAAAATATAATGGAAGTCAATGGGAAAAGAAACTATTTGGTTACCAAGATTTCTACAAAACCTTTGAAGAAAAGAAAGTCATACAGGTCTGTCCATCCATCCATCCATCCATCCATCTGTATTAGTCTGTCCATTTATCTATCCATTTTCCATCTATTCATCAATCTATCTTTCTCCCTATCCATCTATCTGTCCATCCATTCATCATCTGTCTATCCATCAATCCATCTTTATCTATTTTCAAAACTTTCAATCAAGATTTTTTTAAGCCATCATTCTTTTGCTTTTCTAGTTAAAATTGGTCCATGAATCTATTTGAATTTCAATTCACTTTACAATTAACATTGACTGAACTGTTTGCAACCTCAAATCAGTTCAAATTCAGTAACTGAACTATTCACTTCTGAATGGCTCAAATCCCTCCCACTAAGCCACACCTCCAACTAATTCAATGTAAAATAACGCTTTTTGGTTTTCCAAAATAATTATGACCAATATAGTGTTGGGCTGTATGGACTGTATAAAAATGAGTTGTCCACAAAATATCAACATAAAACAGTAAACACTTCTATCACACTTCATTTGCAATTGAGTTGGCCTCTCCACACCCTGCTGTTTGCAACACAGCCAAGACTAAGGAGTTTTTATTTGCCAATTAGTAACAACTTCACAGCAGCCCCCAAATGAAGCTGCTCTCTCAGACCCAGTATGTTAGGAAGCTAGGGAGTAACATAGAGCGGAAAACCGGGATGGGGTAGATTAGGGCTGGGAACGGGAAGGTGGAGTGAGGATGGACTTGGCAGCCATGGCTGCTGATATACGTATTTGGCGTGTGAAATGCTTTACGCCTGCCAAGACCTGATTGCTTGGCAGGCGGTTTACTTTTAAACTCTGGGTATGGTTAATGCACCTATTGCAATATATCTTGCAAGATAAAGCATTCATAATTCAAACTGCCATGATTGAATTATGAAGATATGGAAACAAAACTGAGGTTTCAACACTCTTTGTATGCCTGAAGTTAAAAAGATATCTGTGAAATAATGTGACTTTTATCCCAGGAACTTGTGGTGTTTCATTGTTTTATACTTACGTTCACTACCGACGGTGCTGATGGGCTCCAGGTCCTGAGGAAAGGGTGTCGCACCATGGCACAGATGTTTTAGGCAGGTGAGGGTGAGCGTGAGGGTCAAGGCCAAGAGGGGCCGCGACCCCAAAATCACCAACCTCATTTCAGCTAGAGCATAGAAGTCAGCCACACAGCATGACCCAGAGCAGACTGATCACCACCTGGAAAGACCAAAAAGAGAGCTATGATGACAATAGCCGTTTTAAAAAATGGTCACTGCAGCCTCAGTAAAAAGGATTTTTGTGCTTCCACTTGACTCAACAACTTATACGTGTGACTGAATGATTGTGAAATTCACTGACATGTCATTTCAAATCTGTATGACTGTGGAACACAAATACAGAAATTTTAAGAAATTGCACTAGCTGCTCTTTTACACCCAATTACAATGATTGGGGGCGAGGCATTTAAGCTTCGGGAAGTATCGTAAAATGATCTTTAAAACTTCTGAAGACTTGTAATGCAGTACATGAGTCATATGTACCACTTTTAGGATACTGTTATGTAGACTTGTGCCGGTATTCGGTAATGCGATATATCACGGTAATGAATATGCACGATATTGTTATCGTGGGCACGTATGCTGCGTGAAAGACGCGTGCGCACTCTGACGTAAACAAGCGTGGACGTGAAGCACATGGCGGAACATGTGAAACATGTGAGGGATGAAAGCGCACTTTCACTCTCTGACAGCATATGAAGCTAAACTGCAGAAATAATAATAATAATAACAATAATAATAATTCATTTAAATGCAACCGTTACCCCGGAAACCCTGTAAACAAAGCAGCTGCACTACTACCTGTTTCTGAATCGTGTTTAAATGATTTAAACAGCCATTCAGATTTGTGTATTTGCTATGATGTTCATCACAGAGCCAAATACTTAAATATTTAGACTTAATAGGCTATTTATTTTCAATCTTTTTTTTACATTTTAATCTGGACTACAACATGCCCTAGATATTGTTTGAAAGTGTTTTGATTCTTTATTGTTCGGTCACACTTTAGATTAGGGCTTCATTAGTTAACATTAGTTAATTCATTAGTTAACAAACTGCCAATGAAAAATTCTTCTGAACATTCATTAATCTTAGGTATTCCAATATTTAATAACACGTTGATAAAATCGAAAGTTGCAACTGTGTTATTTAATGAGCTAACATGAACTAAGACTTGTATTTTTTAAACAAAGATTAATAACTTCTGTAGCAAATGTAGCTATTGCTCATTGTGAATGTTAATGCATTAACTAAGGTTAACTAATGAGGTCTTAATGTAAAGGGTTCTTTTGCACTTTAATCTGTGTAAAACTTGTAACTTTATACATTCTTCTGTATTGCTTTATTGCATTTAAATGATCAGTTATTTTTGTTAAAAGAAAAAAGTTATTAAACCTGTTATACTGTATTATGACAGCACTTTTTTTTTAAACAAAATTTCAATATCGTGATAATACTGTATACCGTAATAAAAGCATTAGCAATTAATCGCAACATGAAAATTTGATACCGGCATATCCCTACTGTTATGGTTATTTTGTGCCATTTTTGAAGCTTGAAAGCAATGTGGACTAACTGCATTGGAAAATAGCGAATAGCACAAGTCAGATGGGTTGTCAACAAAGTGAGTAAATAATCAAAGAATTTTCACTTTTAACTATTCCTTTAATGCAATCTAATATTCAAGCATCCTGCAGTCGCACTGATTCAGACAGCGGCAGTGTTGCTTTTATTAACACGCCCAGCATAATAATGGAGAAACGGAGATGGGGAAAGAAAAAAGATGGACTGAGTGAGCGAGAACACAATAGGTTATATTATAAGGGCCCCAGCCTGGGGGACACCTGGCTCATTGGCTCAAACTGTACAGTCTTTCACAGGTGACTTAACTCAATTAACCGCAAAGGCTGCTGGGATGCCGTCTCAGTCTGTCAGCTTTTACACAAGGCCAATGGGGATGGATCAAAAACTTATTTTCAGGGCAATGGAAAAAATGAAAGTCTCCTGCCAAAGAGTCCTACTGAAAATAGGCTGAATTATTAATGAACGCTTTGATTGTTTGTATTAGATTCATAATGGACTGAGATACTGATGTTAATGAGTTTGGCATCAGGTTATTCTACATGATACAATGGCCAAAAAAGAATGGACTGTCCTCTAGCACAGTGATTCTCAACTAGTTTTGCTTCAGGATGCAGATTTAACATCAGAAATCAAGTGGTGACCCATCAAAAATGTAATAAAAAATGTGCTTAAAAACAAATACTGAAATGTACTATTATAACCACAAACCCCATTTGGTCTAAAATGTGCAAAACTAATAACATGACTGTTTAAAAAAGGAAAATTCACAATTTGAATTTCAATTTTTGCACAAAAACACATTTATCTTTGCTAAAACAATATTTATATAGCCTGAGTCATCAGTGTAGAAACACTGCTTTAGTAAACAGATGAGTTTGTGTCTTATAACTGACAATGTGTCCTTTAAATTTTAATGCCCAGCCAAAAACCTTTTGTTTTTGAACTGATATGAAGCCCGATCACAATTAATCACCCCATGTGGCCACTAGGGGTGGAACGGTTCGCGGAAAAAAATCGAACCGTACGGTTCTCCACACACGCGCTAGGACCGCGGTTCAACTTAAATCTGACAACGCATCTGTATTATGGTTAGCTATAAATAACAGGGTTCGGCTAATATATGTTTCTGTTGATGGATGCGCATTCTGGCTTCCCAATACATTACAACAACAGCGATGAAGAAAAAAACGTGGACAAACCATTCACTCTTGTTCAATGCGAATGCCGTATGCTGGAATATGAGCATTTATTCCGTCATCACCCAGTTGCTGATAGCGCCCGCGCACAGGTGAGACCTGAACAGCACACATTGATATCTGTGTTTAAGCAAAACTCGTTTAAGCTTTGCCAGTTTAAACATTTAAGAGCCAGAGGACGTGAGCTCGCGAGCGCAGTGAGAAGATTTGTGCGTGCGCTCATCCGAAGCGTGCAAACCCGCACCTCAGAATTACTTTCTCTGAAGTATTGTGTTTAAATGGACAAATTCACACAAAAATTGTCAAAATGCCCGTCTTGGTAAGTATCCTATAGCAGACATAGCTGGCTGAATATACTGTATCAGTGCACTAGATCAGTCCATTCTCTTTAAGTGTCAACACTTCCTTAATATTAATCAAACAGCAACAAAGAAATCACTCACTATTTGTGCGTGCACTCATCCGAAGCATGCAAACCCGCACCTCAGAATTACTTTCTCTGAAGTATTGTGTTTAAATGGACAAATTCACACAAAAATTGTCAAAATGCCCGTCTTGGTAAGTATCCTATAGCAGACATAGCTGGCTGAATATACTGTATCAGTGCACTAGATCAGTCCATTCTCTTTAAGTGTCAACACTTCCTTAATATTAATCAAACAGCAACAAAGAAATCACTCACTGCTCTTGATTGAATAGTGTTTGTAACTTTAATAAAGATTAATCTTTAATTTATATAGTCAAATATGCAATGCTGTTTTACATTTCATTACTTTATTCAATTTCTGTACCTGAAACTAATGTTAGACCTACCTAAAAAAAACTGAAAATCACTGTTTATTTTATTTGTATCTTTACTCTATTGTATTAATTGTGCTGTTGCTTGTAGTTAGATAGATTATTCTTATTTTCTTTATTTTTATTTGACAGTATAGTTTTTGCCTAAACATAGCACATACTGAACCATACCGAAACCGTGACTCTAAAACCGTGATACAAACGGAACCGTGAGTAAGTTGAACCGTTCCACCCCTAGTGGCCACACAAGGATACACTGTGTCAGGGCTATATAATGGGACATTATGTCTGATGGATTAGCTATACTTAGAGAACTGAGTACAGGGACAGGGCTGTGCGCTTCTAATGGAGCATATATACACACTTAGGAAAACACACGCTCTTCTAGAACTAATACAGCACAAAATGTGAGACATCATCTTCCCCAGGCTGACGCTGAAAGGATCATGGGGTCGTTTTTATATGGACACAAACAAACAAGGATCATGACAGATAAGCACAAATTATACCATCCGGATGTCTTGTGACTGCAGAACCAAAACCAAAGTCGTGTTGCTTGTCAAGGAATTGACAATGGGAAGAGATCATGTGAAAACTGATGAATACAGTGCAGAAAACATCTAAGAATAACATTTTCACTAAAAGTTCTGATGACAAAAAAAGAGTGGTCCCATGATGTTACAGGGTTGTGGGTGGTTGCTAACTGTACGTCTATTTTTCCCCCACCTTTTTATTGACCAGCTACTGTAGCCAGTTGGAATGGAAGTTAGAATGCTTTGAAAAGTACTAGCACACCTCTCCCGAACATGATATGAGGTATCATTCATACCCACAGCACAAATGCTGTGAGACAAATTACACACTAAAGTCCAATACTTAAAAGTCTCGATAAAAATGGAAGTAATGGCATATCTTTTCTTCCACATTGTGAAGTACATCCAAGTGATTATTATACAAGAAAAAAATGTTGCTAGGACTTGGTACTGTCGAACAGTTGCAGTTGATTGCAAGAAAGGAGCGAAGTTTAGGCAGACAAACTGTTTGGCATAGATCAGAGTGAAATGTGTCATTTTGGAAGATCTACTTTTCACATTTTAATATAAAATACAAAGTCATGAAAAAAAGAAACAGATAGAAAATGTGTATGAATAGTTAACGATAAGATCAATAACATGCATTTAGAAAATGGATAGATTTTCATTTCATTTCAGAGCAGCTAGGAGGAATGGGCTGTCTGGTCTTATCTGCGCGACGTCGCTGCCGACTTTAAGGTAAAAGTTTAGAACAAATCCAAAAAAGAAGAACTTCAAAGATATTTAAAAACCTCAAAGGAATCAGGTCAAATTAATCCTTAACAAACTCCTGTCCTAATAATTTTCAATATAAAGATGTCCCTTTCGCTCAAGGCAAAGCACTCTTTAGAGACCCAAAAGTTTGAGACCTCAGCGACGTCGCGCAGATAAGACCAGACAGCCCATTCCTCCAAGCTGCTCTCTCTGCTGCCATTAATACATGCTCCAAATGGCATCTCAATCAGCACTCAAGGCTGATGTGAACAGTGATAGGACTGGGAAACCAGTGA